AACTTTCTGCAACCATGCTGCAGTGCTCCATCAATAATCAGTTGAGAAGTCATGTCTTCTTTTGATTATTTTTTTTAATCACATCACATACAATATGCAAGATTAGGAGCATTATATTACATTGTATTAACAGAACAGATGTGTGATTCTTCTGTAATTTTTAAAATATGTTCCACGTGAATAGCAAATTGACCCTAAAAAGTTACTGAACAGTATACTAAATACTATTTTTAAATACATTTATTTCATGCATGGATTGTGCCCTCTAGCGGCTGCATGTGGAGCACGATTAGCATCTTAGCTATATGGTCCACTAATGACTAACACAACCTGTCCTGTACACAGTTTTCATGGTTTCTTAAAGTATCTGAATTTCTTTTTCCAAATTGGCTAAACACCCTCTGACTAAGCTTTTACAGCAGCCACCCCCAAAACTCTCGAGGAGTGGAAACATAATGCCTCTTGTCCAAAAACCTAAATTCTTAATTCTCTTCTACATCCTGCAGGTTTCTGAAAAGTCCTGCTGCAGAGGAAGCGTGTGATTATCTCACTAAAGTTCTGGGTAAAAGTCCATTATTACTGAAAGAACTGGATCTGAGTGGAGAGAAATTAGGAGATCTGGATGGAGAGAAACTCTCTGCTCTTTTGATGGACTCCCATTGCAAAGTGGAGAAAATCAAGTGAGTGAACATGATTTATACATGATAACTTCTCTGTATATTCATTATAAAGGACTGGCAGTCGTGTATGTGAGCATATTTGAAGACTGATGATCTGTTGAATATGTGCTGTATAATAAATAATTGTTTTTGTTCAGGCTGAATAATTGTGAGCTGACAGAGGAAAGCTGTTCAGTTCTAGCTACTGTTCTCTCCTCCAAAACCATCCTGAAAGAGATGAACCTGAACAACAGCCGTCTGCTGGACTCAGGAGTCAAAGAGATCTGTGAGGGACTGAAGAATCCTGTGTGTGAGCTGAACATACTCAAGTGAGCTCATTTCACCATCAGCTTGCACACACTAATATGAAATGCAGACTAATACTGTACATCTACTGTTACTCACGCATATATGCAAACCTTTTGCTTGCATTTATGAAACGATTGCACATACATATAAACTCTTCACTTACACATCTATTAAACATTTGCCATACACACACTTGTTACACAGTTTGTGGTATATTAAGATATCTTACAGCTAAGTAAAAAAATTGTGAAGAATGTCTTGCTCAAGTTGTGTTTGCATTGGAGGTTTGGGTTGATCAAGTAGTTCTTCCAATGTTTCATCATCGGACACAGGCTCGAACTGATATACTAAAATCAATGCAATGATTACTGTCAGTGTTTACAATCACCGAGGGAAGAAAGACTCCGTACCAGAGCAGATAGGGTAACGGGCATTTTGTTTCAGACATGCACTGTAAGCAGTATACCAATCACAACAGACCTGATCATCTGACCTATTAGAGCAGAGTAGGCTCATGGGAAGGAGGGGTTTAGAAAGAATAAATGTTCAGATGAATCATTTGAGACTTTTTGAGAAATTAGGTGATTTAAAATCTATATTATGAATAAATGATCATTGTATGTAAACCTAGTGTAGGAGACCTCTAAAACATAATAGGGGCAATTTAAAGGTGGGGTAAGTGATTTCTGGTAGCCAATGTTGATATTTCAAACCACCAAAACAAACACGCCCCTACCCCAAAAGGGTCTCACCCCTATTTTGATAGCTCCGCCCCACACATATGTAGGCAACCCAGGCAACGATTAGTTCTGTGAAACAAAGCAAAACCAATGTTACACCGTGTCTACACCGGACACGAGCGGCACTACAAAATACTATAGAACTCATAATCAGTGATGCTGTCTACACTGGATGCGGCACGGCGTGACACGACAAATCCCGACAGAAAACTGCTGCTGCGTTCCATTTATTACGTATTGACACAAATTTCAAATGATTTTCAATGGTCGCTTTATCGCGTCCAGTGTAGACAGACTTTAGCTGTTTAGCTGTTGCGGCGCAGCGCGACAACTGACGCGTCCAGTGTAGACACGGTTAATAGGTGTTTTCCAACAACCTACATAATTTCTGTCAGAAAATCTTTTAAAAAATTGTCCAAATAGACTTTCAAAGCTGCATTCCGGTAATTTAATACAAGCTTTTCATGAAAATATAGCCTTGAAATTAAGTTGCATGAGCTGAAGAGTAAACAGTTGTATGTATCTAGACAAGTATAATCTATCCCAAGACCCACCAAAATAATTTAAATGGAAATATGGGGGAAAATAAACATAATTTTCACAGTGTTTTATTGTACAATCGTGGCCAAAAGCATTGGCAGTGAGTGACATAAATGTTGTGTTTTGCAATATTTGCTGCTTAAGTTTTTGTGGTGTTCATTCATATTGTTTCTAGATTATGTCACTGCTAATACTTGTAGAAACAATGTGAATGAATACCAAAACAGCTTAAGCAGCAAATTTTGCAAAACACAAAATTTATGTTACTGCCAATACTTTTGGCCACGACTGTACATGAATCTTTGCTTTCAGTATTTGCTGTGACCCCCTTTTGCAGAAATAACTGCAGCTAACCCTTACCAAAAAAGAAGTATACATTTCTTAAGAAGTTTCTTTTAGTAAGTATACTTAAGTAAAGTTCAAGTATATTTTTAATTATACTTTATGTAGTAAGTATACAAATATCAGTGTACTAGTAGTATACTGGCAAGTGTACTATTCCAATACTCCTTGGGACTAAATTGGCCCACTTTCTAGTGTATAAAAGTATACTTTTAAGTATACTTTAAGGATAACAGTATTAAACTTTGAGTACACAACTAGTTTACCTCCATGTTTTTAGTTTGTACTGCAACTATACTAAAAGTGAACTTCTAGGTATACTGTGAGTTTACTAATTAAATACTTGTAGTAGCATTTTTAGTACACTTTGAAGTATAGTCTCGGTAAACTACTAGTTTAGTAGTTGTAAACAAAAACATTTTATTCTAGCTTCATGCATTCTTTTTTATAAACACAGGCATGTGAGTAACTTTCATAAATAAATAAAAAAAATTAAAATAAATAAATAACATTTTAAACAAAAAGCTGAAAAAGACTATGAATTGGATTTAGAATGATAATCAAAATGTAGATAAAATCGATCAACACCCCAAAGCTTGACAGTCATTATTACCTCTTCATTGGTCGACATTTTATTCCATAACGTTACAC